CCCCCACTCCATTCCCCCTCCCTCTCGAGACTGAAGAGCAGTCCAGATTCCCTGCCCTGTGGGAAGTCCAAGGTCCTCCCACTTCTATCCAGGTCCAGGAAGGTGAGCATCCAAACAGGCTAGGCTCCCACAAAGCCAGTTCATGATTAGGTTTGAAACCTAGTGCCATTGTCCTTGGCTTCTCATCAGTCTTCATTATCCACCATGTTCAGAAAGTCCGGTTTCATCCCATGCTTATTCAGTACCAGTCCCGCTGTTCCCTGTTTGAGCAGAGGACTGAGATCTGTGAGTCCACTCCTAAATAAATAACCCTTTATTATACTCAATTCTGAGCAAGTATGGGTTTCTTTTTAGCATCCATCTTCATCCTTTTATCTTCATGTGTCTGTCTTGAATTCTAATTATAATAATAATTATACTGTTCTGCTTGGATTCTTTGAACACCTATGATTATTGTTTATTATCATATATGTGTTTACTACTCTAAAGTGACAAGCTAAAATTACAGAATATTATTCAATGGAGCACTAACAGCTTTCCCACAAGATGGATGGTGATGCCTCTCCTAAATTTTCATGATTTTTATAATTTCTTGTTTGTGTTTTTCATGAACACATCAAATGTAACAGTTGGACACCTGGGAAATAATGTGGTACTAAATAAGACTATTAAGCATGGACAGGAAAGATGACTGAGTTTAAAGAGCATTGACTGCTCTTCCAGAAGTCCTGGATTCAATTCCCAGCAACCACATGGTGTCTCACAACCATCTGTAATGAGATATTATGCCCTGTTTTGGTATGCAGACAGAAGAGTGTAACACAACAAATAAATAATTCATTTAAAAAAAACAGTAAGCATAAATGAACAGTGAAAAGAATCATTAAATTTGTGGTTAGTGAATTACAATTGTTACAAAAATAACGAATAGATAATTAAAGCTAAAGTGGTTTTTGCTACAGCGATAAAAATAAATACTTTTGTACTTATAAACCAAAATCTTCATGAAATTTTGACTTCAAATTATGTAGCTTCAAGCAGTGGGGTCAGGCCCTGTCCCTGGTACTTGAGCTGGCTTTTAGGAACCTATTCCCCATGTTGGGTTGCCTTGCCCTGTCTTAACGCAGGGGGAGAAGTTTGGTCCTACTCACCTTTGTTGAAGCCCATGGGAGGCTTGCCCGTTTTTGAAATGAGATGGAGGAAGAGTGGATATGGTCATAGAAGGGTAAAAGGAGGGGCATTGAGAGAGAGGAAAGGAACAGAAGAGAGTAAGGAGGGGAAACTGTCATCAGCATGTAAAATAAATAAAACAATTTAATTTATAAATTTTAAAAATGTAATATAAAACATGAAAATCTTAAAGAAATCATTATTCAGATATGCTTTTAATAAAATGGTGTGTTCTCTTAAAGTTAAAAGGTGAGAAATTAATTAAATGACTACTCCTAATTTCCATTGGAATCCCATGGCACTTTTATTGTGTTCAAAAATATAAAATATTGTGGGGTACCTAATCTCAGTTGTCAGCATAAAACATCTAGGAAAAAGGAAACTCAGGTGAAAAATTGTCCAGATCACGCTAACCTAATGCTCCGTCTGTGAGGCATTTTGGTTAATTGCTAACTAATGTTGGATATCTGAGCCTGCTGTGGGTTGTAACATCACTAGGCTTGTGGACCTTGGCGCCACGAGAAAAGGAGCTGAAAAGAGCATGGAGCAAGCTAGGAAGCAGTTTTCTGATGTTTCTGTAGGTTCTTGCCTTGATTTCCCTGATGATGGTCTATAACGAGTAAACTATAATAAACCTTTTCCTTCCCCAGTTGCTTTGGGGAAGTATTTTATTGCGATAACAAAGAATCAATCCAGAAAAGGTTGTAACTTTAGAGTCAAAAGCTAAGAGTCCTTTGCAAGCTCATTAGCGTAAGGTTTCTGTTATAGCTGACTCAATTTTGATGAATTCCTTAAATTGAACCAACAAGAGCAGATTTTATTGTTTAGAAAGAGTAGTGTTACACACATGCATGTAGGATGGATTTTCTTGTCCTTGCTATTTAGCAAGACTTTGATGAGTCTTAGTGCAGCTGTCAAAGCAAGTGCAATGATGAATAGCTTCTCGACACTGAGGAGGAAGCATCAGGGTCTTTGGGTAATCAGGTAGGCTGGAGTAACTCAGCATTTTCTGAAAACTCTCAGAAACAGTGACTTTTATCTGAAGATATTGTTCTACAATGTTAGCAGTTCTGGAACATTCAAGGCATAGATTTGAAAATTTCACTATCTGCTTTAGTCGTCATACTGATCTATTTCAAGTCACCAATGGGTCATTTAAAGAGAGAAATCATATCTCTGGCTTACATTTCAGAACAACTTTTATTTGAATTGTCTATATGCCTTTAAAAAGCATGATTCCATAGGGAAGAATTATAATCATTCCTAACAGTGTTCT